TTTTTATTGATGCATTCATTCTCTCTCTTTCTTTTACTATGTCATTGTTATACTTCTTTAAAATTGTCAAATCTAAAGTAATAATTACACTGCAATTGCCTGTTGTCATTGCAATATATATATATATACATTTTCATTTTCTTTTTGGTTTAGTCCCTTTATTAATCTGGGGTTGCCACAGCGGAATGAACCGCCAACTTATCCTGCATATATTTTATGCAGCGGATGCCCTTCCAAAAATCCATAAACTCTCATACACTACGGACAATTAACCTACCCAATTCACCTGTACCGCATGTCTTTGGACTGTGAGGGAAACCGGAGCACCCGGAGGAAACCCACGCCAACGCAGGGAGAACATGTTTAAACTGTTTATTAACGTTTATTAATGCAGAGTTAATGCTTAATAGATAATGAAGTCACTATTTGCTAATGCTTAATAAATGATTTATAGTGTGTAGTTATTATAAAGTGTTACCAACACTTTTATACAGCTTAAAGTGACATTTAAAGGCTTAACTAGGTTTATTAGGTTAACTAGGCAGGTTTGGGTAATTAGGCAAGTTATTGTATAACGATGGTTTGTTCTGTAGACTATTTAAAAAATATATAGCTTAAATGGGCTAATAATATTGACCTTGAAATGGTGTTTAAAAAATTAATAACTGCTTTTATTCTAGCTCAAATAAAACAAAAAAGACTTTCTCCAGAAGAAAAAATATTATCAGACATGCTGTGAAAATTTCCTTGCTCTGTTAAACATAATTTGGGAAATATTTAAAAAAGAATCAAAGGGGGGCTAATAATTCTGACTGTATGTCACACATTATATATATATTAAGCAGAACTAATAGCCAATGTGAACACGGCCAAAGCCTTTCCCTAATATGTCTGAATCGGTGCTCATGTATTGTCAGCTTTAGACCTTTAATGGCTTTGTATTATTTATACTGTTCTATCTGGTGATGAAAGCCGTTGTCTGGTGCGATGTGATGTAAGACTGCTGTTATCTGGACACCATCTGTCCAATCCTGTTACATAAAAAGATGGGGGCAAAATATTTAACTGTGTTCCGACCATTTAGTCCACAACAATGTGCAGTGCGCAGGCTTCTCAGCTGAGTCATATATTCATTTAATCATTACTGTCCAAATACGCTTTTTTTGGGAGGTAAGCATATGACCTGTGATCTGACAAGCTGAAATCCATTCCACGCTTGAATGGACAAGAGTGTACAAGGAAATCAGGCACATTATTTGAGTGCTCTTAAAGAGGTCATAGTGTATCAGAACAGGACACTCCTTTTCCAAGGAAGTACTTGGAAAGTCCATTTAACAGACAATGCATTTTCCTTCTGCAAATCCTTTCCCTCGGGAACATAAAACGCTTCCTCCTCTGATATTCAAGGTCTTGAATTGGCTTAATCAGTCAGTCTGGTGCAGAGACCTTTGAAAGTGTCTATTTAATGTAAATGTAAGGGTGCTGTGATTTATCAATGTGTATCAGGGTATATTAATGTTATATTAAAAATAATATAGGGGGTCAAAATTATTAGCTCTCCTGTGATTTGTTTTTCCAAATATTTCAGTATTTTTTTTCAGTATCACAGTATTTTCTATAATGTTTTTTCTTCTGAAAAAAAGCTCATTTGTTTTATTTGAGCTAGAATAAAAGCAGTTTAAAATAAAAAAATTAACATTCCAATATTATTAGCTCAAACATAAAGTTGAAGTCAGAATTATTAGCCCCCCGAAATTATTAGCCTCATTTATTTTTTCCCCAATTTCTGTTTAACCGAGAGAAGAAAAAAAATTCAGCACATTTTTAAAATATAATAGTTTTCATAACTCATCTCTAATCACTGATTTGTTTTATCTTTGCCATGATGACAGTAAATAATATTTGACTAGATATTTTTCAAGACACTTCTATACAGCTTAAAGTGACATTTATAGGCTTGACTAGGTTAATTAGGTTAACTAGGCTGGTTAGGGTAACCTTTGGACTGTGGGGGAAACCGGAGCACCCGGAGGAAACCCACGCGAACACAGGAAGAACATGCAAACTCCACACAGAAACGCCAACTGACCCAGCCGAGACTCGAACCAGCGACCTTCAAAAAAAGAAAAAAAAAGGGGCTAATAATTCTGACTTCAAATGTATCCTCATATAGGTTCTTTCCATGTGGGAGTTTTAGTTTACTAAAATAACTTTGATAATAGCATGATATAATAACATGATATTCACTCAGTTAAAATAGTTGGGTTAAAACTACCCCAACATATAACCCAGCTATAGGTTATTATAGCACCTTCTCAACTATGGGTTATTTTAACCCAATGCATTGGGTTATATAATTTAACCCAATGCATTGGGTTATTTTGATTAAATGCAATTTTTTCCATTCTGGTATTACCATTGCTACTATCACTAGTACTAGTTTTAATTTTATATTATGGCTGTGTAAATAAATAACATGCAGTTCTTTTAAATATTGAAAATGCTTTATTTCCATTACATTTTAAGTTCCAGACACTTAAGGTTTTTTATCTTCACACTTAAAAACTTTGAGTTATTTAATTAACCCAATGATTGAGTTAAAATATTTGATGCTGTGTTGTTGTTTTTTTTTAACCTTTATTTGATTATTTATTAATGACTCAACCAGTTGGGTTAAGTATTTGGTGCTTGTTGTTTTTTGTTGTTTTTTTACCTTTATTGGGTTATTTATTTAAAAACTCAACCAGTTGGGTTAAAAATGTTGAATTTCAACAGTCTACTGATTTAATTGATGCAGGACAGCTGTATTATAGGCTCAAGTTTATTTTGTTTGTTTTTTATCAAATTATCTTTCCGTGTTGTGTTTTTTCTATCCATTTCACCAGAATTCTCAATTATTTATGATACAAACATCCGCTTCGTTGCTGATCTTATGGATAAAAAAAAGCTTAAGTGTCTGGAATCTAAAATGTTGTGGAAATAACGCATTTAGAATATTTAAAAAAAAAACTGCATGTTATTTATTTACACAGCCATAACATAAAATGAATAGTAGTAGCAATAGAAATACCAGAAAGGTAAAAAACAGCATTTAATCAAAATAACCCAATGCATTGGGTTAAATTATATAACACAATGCATTGGGTTAAAATAACCCATTGGAAAGGTGCTATAATAACCTATAGCTGAGTTATATGTTGTATTTTTAACCCAACTATTTTAACTGAGTGAATATCATGTTATTATATCATGCTATTATCAAAGTTATTTTACTAAAGTAAAACTCCCACATGGAAAGAACCTATATGAGGATATACATTTGAAGCCAGTGTGGAGTGTTTAATATGGATTGACTATGAAAAGTGTTTGTATCATCAATACTTAAGAGTGCTGGTCAAACGGATATAAAAAACACAACATGGAGAGGTAATTTAATTAATATGTATATATATATATATATATATATATATATATATATATATATATATATATATATATATATATATATAGATATGTATATATATATATATATATATATATATATCTCTCTATATATATATATATATATATATTATATATGTATATATATATATATATATATATATATATATATATATATATATATATATATATATATATATATATATGTATATATATATATATATATATATATATATATATATATATATATATATATATATATATATATATATATATATATATATATATATATATATATATATATATATATATATATATATATATATATATATATATATATATATATATATATATATATATATATATATATATATATATATATATATATATATATATATATATATATATATATATTGCAATGACAACAGGCAATTGCAGTGTAATTATTACTTTAGATTTGACAATTTTAAAGAAGTATAACAATGACATAGTAAAAGAAAGAGAGAGAATGAATGCATCAATAAAAAGGGGGCCAAAGGAGCGAGGGCACATGAAAAAAAAATAAATGCTGAATATTAAATAAAGCACATTTTAGGCGTTTTAACCACTTTCTTGATACGATACTCTGAAATTCACGGATTGCAAATAGAGGTAAAGTTGGTTTTATATTTGGATATTCAGACATTCTCCTTAATGATATCATTTCAGAAAAGTATTCTTTGAAAATTGTAAATAGGAAAATCAAAGTACAACATTGTTCACAGTCAATTAGATAGTGGTACTGTTGTTTTCAAGTCATACTTGCATGCTAATTCCGATCGAATATTCAAAGTAACATGGTAAACAATACAGAGACTGCTAAATGAACAAATGTGCGAATATAAAACCAATTGTAAAGTATTCTAAAGTTAACTTTACCTCTATGTATTGCACTATACATTGAGTACTGAAGATTGCAACAGCATAAAAAGCCCACTTTCTGAATATTTCTAAAACAGTAGATTATCCTATCTGTTTATATGCATTGCATTCTTTCATGCTACAATCTTAAAGTGATGTTCATCAGACCCAATAAGCTACCCAGCAAGACAATACCCTATTATTTTTCGTTGTTTCGTCCAGTTTGCATCAGACACTCGTACTTATCTCAGCTGAAGCGCTGCCCCAGCTTTTTCACTTGTTTATTTACTTCTTTCTAAAATGCTGCACAGTTATAGCTCGCTCATGTTTGAAACACAGCCACCGAAGTGAGTAGCCGCGCCGTGTCTGAGGAGCCAGCAGAGGAAAGTGTGAGAAAGCAAAAGAAACCCCTCCCTCCTCAGTGCTGCACTGGGACACACAGACTGCAGTGCACACTGTGTAGTGTTGATCAGAGGCGGAGTTTCACCTCAGCACCGAAACCAGCAGAAAAAAAATTCAGGTGTCCGCAGTTCAGTCACTCAGTCAGTAACTCATACCAGTAACGCACACGGGACTACTGCGGGGACCAGAACACGGGATTTTAACTCCGTAAGAGCAAGTGAAAACAATATTAAGCCATAAGGACGAACGCGTTTTATTGTGAACGGCGGTGTGTTTGTATTGAACATCTTTTCCCCCGGTGTGTTTTCGTTTGTCGCTTCCGCTTTTTTTCCTCGTCCAGCAGCAGGAGTCAAGTGGGAATTTCGGATTCTCTGGAAACTGCTTCACTTGGACACTGAGAGGAATATCAAGTCACTTATTGTTCGTGTGGTGAGTACATGTGTGTCCTGTCATGTTTGTACGTTTTTGTTTTGGTCAAACTTTTCTTCGCCATGTTTCAGTCGTCAGTGCGCATGTGACGGAAATGCACCTGAATCAGGTAACTGTTATTAGACGCACCTCGGCGTTTGCGTTAAGATCAGATAGTTTAGCTTTATTTGACAAACCTCCAAACATTCTCCTTTATAAGAATTTAAGAGCTTGCAATGTAAATTGGTGTGTGTTAATAATGGCTACTAACATTAATGGTTTCAATACCATGTCACTACTGCTGGGTCAACTTTTCAGTTTTAATGTTTAGGCTAAACACAACATAGAGGTAAAGTTGGTTTTATATTAGGATATTCTGACATTCTCCTTAATTTCATTTCAGAAAAGTTTTCTTTGAAAAATGTTAATAGAAAATCGTATTAGCAGAAAATGACTATCAAAGTACAACATTGTTTACAGTCAATTAGATAGTGGTAGGCTACTGTTGTTTTCAAGTCATACTTGCATGCTAATTCCGATCGAATATTCAAACTAACACGGTAAACAATACAGAGACTGCTAAATGAACAAATATGCGACTATAAAACCAACGTTACCTCTATAAACACAACAGATCAATACACAGGTTTGGGGTCAGTAGTTTTTTTATTGTTTTAAAATAAGCTTATCCTGCTGACCAAAGCTCCATTTATTTAATCAAAAATACAGCACACATTGTAAAATTGTGAAATGTTATTGCACTATAAAATAACTGTTCAAAAGTACTTTATAATTTAATTTTAATAATTTATTCCAGTGATTGAATGATGAATTATCAGCTTCATTACCCCAGTCTTCATAGTCACATTAACCTTCAGAAATAACTCTTTATATTAATTATTATAATAATAATTATTATTATTAATAATAATAATAATATCATCATCATGATCATTATTATTATTATTATTATTATTATTATTAATATTATCATCATCATGATCATTATTATTATTATTAATGGTAATAGTAGTAATTGCATTTGAAACTACATAAAATAAGAAAGCAGTTCTTTATTAGTTATTTTTTAAAATAAATATTTAACCATTGTTTTTCATTTAATAAATACCGCCTTGATGAACAGAATAATTTTCTTAAAAAAAAAAAAAAAACTGACCCCAAACTAGTAAACTGTTTTACAATAGAAAACGCGCTTCACAAACAAAAATGTATATAAACTATCTATACATCAAAAGTTTGGGGTCAAGGTTTTTTTTTAAATAAGCTTATTCTACTGACCAAGACTCCATTTATTTAATCAAATATACAGCACACATTTTAAAATTGTGAAATGTTACTGCACTAAAAAATAACTGTTTAAAAGTACGTTATATTTTAATTTGATAATTATTCCAGGGATTTAAGAGTCAAATAAACCTTCGCAAATCACTCTAATATTAATTATAATAATTATTATCATTATTATTATTATTATTTATATTAAAATAAAAAAGACTGGAGTAATAATTGCATTTAAAACTACATACAATAAGAAAGCAGTTATTTATTTTAATAAATGTTTAACCATTGTTTTGCATTTAATAAATATCACCTTGATGAAAATAATAATTTTCTTTAAAAAAAAAAAAAAAAACTGAAGCCAAACTTTTGACTTTTGTAAGTTTTAAGATACTAAAAACCTGAATTTGTTCGGCAACGGCAAGGCATGTTTATTTGTATAGCACATTTCATACACAGTGGTAATTCAAAGTGCTCTACATAAAGAATAAAACAAACAAGTAAAAGAAATAAAAAACAAAGAATAAATATGATTAAAAACTGATTAAAATAGGTTTTAAAAGGAATTGAAAAGAAAAGAAAGACATACGTATAAATTTTTGGAAGTTATTTCTTTATTGTGTCTAATTTATGACATGTAATCGGTCATACTAATGTAATGCTTTATGCTTTTTTGCATGCAACTTACTAAATTTAGTGAGTTTCTTAAGTCAAGAAAGCAAATCTAAAATATTATTTAAAAAATACTGTTCTGCAGTTTTGCCATTAAAAATATTTTCTTATTTCTCTTAGAATATAGACACATTTCAGTGGGAAATTTACAGAAATGCTGATTAACTAGCTCATTAGATCTACATTGTTCAAACATTCCATATAAATTATTTAAGTAATAAATATTTAAAATAATTAATAATGATGATAATAATAATAATAATAATAATTAATATTATTATTACTACTACTATTTGTCTTAAACACTTTTTCTTAAATACACTTTTTACCCAGATAAAAAAACAAAAACAAAAAAAAAAATTCAACTTTATATTTACTATATATTCGCTTAATTCACAAATAAGTCTTTTAATGTATTTATATTTACACAATGGTAATTCAAAGTGCTTTACATAAACAACAAGAAAAAACAAGTGTAAGAAATAAAAACAAAGAATAAAAATGATTAAAATGTCTTAAAACATGGTTTAAAGGAATGAAAAATAAAAGAATTACATAATTATATACAGATATTGAAGCTATGCCTTTTACTGTGTCTAGATTATGACATGTAGCATATTTAGTCGCACACCACTGAAAATTGGTCATACTAACGTCAAGCTTTGGGCTTTTTTGCATGCACCTTACTGGATTTAGTGGGTTTCTTGAGTCAAGAAAACAACTGTATAATATATTAAAAAAACTTATTGATCTACAATTTTGCCATAAAAAATATTTTCTAATTTTTCTCAGAAAGAATATATGATGCAAAAGCCACTAAATGCCATCTAAATTTTACTCCGCCTCCCATGTTTATGGACAGTTATTTCACTTTAAAGGCAATGACAATCAAATATTCATCATCTTACAAGTGAAACATCTGGTCATAAACACAAGATCCTAAAAAAAATGGTCATTTTAGAAGAAAATTTCAGACGGCACTTAGAGGCTTTTGCATCTGAACTCTTCATATAGATACATATTTCAGTGGAAACTTTACAGACGTGCTGATTTCATGTCTAATTACATCTACATTGTTGTTCAAATATTCCATATAAAATATTCTTGTTGGGCCCTTAAAGAGAAATTTATCAAACTTGTCCTTAAATAAATAAATAAATAAATAAAAAACAATTAGCTTAAACACTTGCTTAAATAAACTTTTAACCCAGATATGTAACTTTAAAAAAGAACTATTTAACTTATATTTATAATATATATTCACTTAATTCTCACATTCTGATTAGAAAAATAAGTGATTGTGGTATAAATGTTTGATTAGTTGTTACATGAATTATTATAATTATTATTATTTATTTATTTATTTATTTATTATTATTATTATTATTATTATTATTATTATTATTATTATTATTATTTTTCATTTTATTGCTGGGCTCTTGTAGATTCAAAATCAGTGAGTGATTATATTTTTCTCTGGAAGCATAAAAGTTGTAGTAAAGCTATTTCATCTAGGGATGCAAATGCTCTTCATTCGTTTCTTTGCCGTAGACATTATAGCTGATTAAATTGGCTCCACACACACCTGCCAAAGCACTCTTCTCATTAAAGTTTGCTGCCTGTGCGTTTCATTTCAACACCATGCGATTGCAGAAGTTTGACTCTTATGCACAAGAAGCTGGTTTATGTTATGGCTCATTCAGTCAGACAAGAAAAAAAAACTGCATGTTAATTTTGGTTATTGGCTTTTGCTTGTATACATTACAGCACTCTGAGTTTAAGAAAAGCACAATCACCAAAATGTATTATTATTATTAATATTTCCTTTCTCAATATTCTCTATCCATAATTATGCTACATTGGCTCATTCTAAAAACTTGGCCTTACATACATTTCTTAAGATCGTGAATTATGTAGCCAGAGGTACGTTTGGCTGCATTTCGTCTTTAAAACGAACGCTACAGGGTGGTATGATGCGGTTTCTTTTCGAGCTTTCTAGCTGACCGCTTACCTCTGTATTGCACGCCGACCACGATGACAGGGTTCAAGTCTAACGAAGAACAGTCCCAGAAACCCGGTAAGACAAAAACAAAAGGCAAAAAATGAAATGAACAAGTAAAATAACCATAGCTGTCAACATAAGGATGTGAAAATAAGGGATATACCCCCCCCAATCCTTTATTATTTACAAAGTATAGAATAAATAGTATGCATTAGAAAAAGCTGCAAATAAATTGGCTGTTTAGCCTATTGAAATTAATAGCTATTATAAAGAAATTGACTTAAGTTATCAAATCTCATTATTCTTTTCTTTACTGTTTAATTTTAACATTCTGTTTAAAGAGCAGCGAATGAGTCTCTCATTTATATTTTTCATTTGATTACATTAAATAAGAGGGGTCACTTTAAAATGCACAGATCTAAAATTATAATCAAAGCCTTCGATTGCTTTTCTAAATGTTTATGCTCATTTAGGACAAAATTTGTTGTTTCAAAGAAAACTTTGAAGATCGACATCTTTAAATGTTGTTGTTATTATTATTATATTATTCATTCATTCTTTAATTTTCTTGTCGGCTTAGTCCCTCTATTAATCCGTTGTCACCACAGCGGAATGAACCGCCAACTTATCCAGCAAGTTTTTACGCAGCGGATGCCCTTCCAGCCACAACCCATCTCTGGGAAACATCCACACACACACATTCACACACTACAGACAATTTAGCCTACCCAATTCACCTGTATCGCATTTGGGCTGTGGGGGGCTGTGGGGGAAACTGGAGCACCCGGAGGAAACCCATGCGAACGCAGGGAGAACATGCAAACTCCACACAGAAATGCCAACTGAGCCGAGGCTCAAACCAGCGACCTTCTTGCTGTGAGGCGACAGCACTACCTACTGCGCCACTGCTTCGGCCATTATTATTATTATTATTATTATTATTATTATTATTAATAATAATTTTGTCTATATGTTAGTTTAAACACGCACCCAAAACCCAGACTTGGCTCCTCTTCAATTCGCATGTACAGAATCCATTTGGGAAACA